TTCCTTCACTGAACCACTAAAACGCCCATCAGGTGGGCACCCGGCAGCCAGCCCTGCCACGTGCCGGCCACGTCCCGTGGCCTGGTCAAGCCCTTTCACCTCTGCGGTCACAGGTGTGCTGTAGGGACCGGCGGGAACACACGGCGGCCCCCACTGCCCCCCAGCAGGCGTGATCCAGCCTGAGCCAGAGACAGGGGCAGAGACGGGGCTTCCGGTTCCTCTCCAGGTGGCCGGGGTCAGGCTTCCCACCTTCCTCCTCCTCCTGTCTCAACGCTCCCAGCATCCTCTGGCGAGAGCCAGCAGGCACACCACTCACCGCCCAGCGACTGAGATCAGTCCCGAGCTGTGTGCAGGGTGGTGCGGGGCGGGGGGGGGGTCTCGACCTCGTGGGAGCACCACGCGCAAACCCACACAAGCCAAGATGGCGCTGCTCAAACTTCCGCAGGTTCCTCCACGGTGCTGCACTTGGCACCAGGAGTCTCGGTGCATTTTTTCCCCCTAAGCAACCCCCACTGCTTAAATGCAGCCCACCACCCCCAGCCGGCCCCACGCCCAGCACTGGAGTCGGCCAGCACCAGTATACAGCAGGCGCTCAATAAATGACAGCTACCGCCGAGACACCGACACCCTCTCCAGACGGGGACAACACAGTCCCTGGCAAGGACTGGCGTGTGCTGAGCAACACAGCCCCCCGGGACTGCGCCGTCGCCAGCCTGGGCCACCCCGTGTTGGCTACAGCCCCCGGAAGCTGTCTCCGGTCCAGGAGCGGGCGGCCGGTGTCCAAGCACGGCAGCCACGCCAAAGCTTCCTTACAGCTCAGGAGCTTCCTTAGAGCCCTGCCTACTCTCCCAGACCAAGGCCAGGGTGGCCCCACAGGCAGGGAGGGGGCAGGGGTGACCTGCAGGGCAAGGGTGCAGACACAGGGCCTCCTGCCGCCGTCACCCTGCCCTCCTAAGTCAGGCAATGGGGCCCAGGGTTTCCACGCCCATCAACAGGGGTGCAGGGCAAGGGGTTGCCCCCAGGACAGCCGGCACTTCCCTGTGCCATGCCAATGATGTCGCCGAAAGAATACACAGTTTCCCGAATGTGAGCTTCATACCAGACGCCCTGCCCCCCCCCCACCGCGTACTGTTCCCAGGGTCCCAAGTGGCACTGATCCACTGTCGGGGGTAGCGACTGGGCAGGGAATGGGCTCAGGGAGGCGGGACAGCTGAGCTGGACCCCAAGTGCAGGGCCCTCAGCCTGCACCCCAGGAAGCTCCTGGCCCACTGGCCCCGCGGGAGGCACCAGGTGCCCCCATCCCATATGGACGCCGGGTCGAGTCCCGGCTGCTCCACTTCCGATCCAGCTCTCTGCTGTGGCCTGGGAAAGCAGTGGAGGATGGCCCAAGTCCTTGGGTCCCTGCACCCACATGGGAGACCAGGAAGAAGCTGCTGGCTCCTGGTTTTGGATCGGCACAGCTCTGGCCATTGCAGCCATTTGGGAAGTGAACCAGTGGATGGAAGACCTCTCTTTTATCTCTCTGCCTCTGTAGCACTGCCTTTCAAATAAATAAATAATCTTTAAAAAACTCACAAGGGTCTGGACGCACGGGAGGCAGCGCCCTCCTCGGGCGAGCAGGGGAGTGCCAGGACTCTGGCCGTCTTCTTACTTGGCCACAGTGTTCCCTGGAAGGAGCCAGGGAGGGCAGGGAGAGGGAGCTGAAGCCAGGGGAGGGAGTTCACAGCGGGCGCACACCTAGAGCTCCCAGCAGGAGCCGGGGCAGCGGCTTAGCGGGCAAAGCTGCCCAGGGACACCGGCATCCCGGCTGAGCGCTGGTTCGAGTCCCAGCTGCTCCACTTCCAATCCAGTTCCCCGCTAAGGCACCTGGGCGAACAGCGGATAACAGCCCCAGTGCTAGGGCCCCTGCTGCCTGGTGGGAGACCTGGTCAGCTCCTAGCTCCGCCCTGGCCCAATCTAGGCTATGGTGGCTACTGGGGAACAAACCAGGGGCTGGACGCTCTCTGTCTCTCCCTCTCCCTCTGCAACTCTGCCTTTCAAATAAATATTTAAAACAAAACAGCACCCAGTGGGGCCTGGTCACCCCCAAGCATGACAGGCAGTTCCACCTTGGCCCGCCCAGCTGCCACGCCCCCACTAGGCGGACCATTCCGGACCTCTGTGGGGGGACTGTGAGATGGTGCTCCCCACTCAGCAGATCAGACCTGCTCAGACTGGGGTGTAGGCAGCCCCAGGCCTCAGCATTCACCGTCACACCTCAGGGCGAGTTTGCCTCTCCTCAGGCTCCAGCCTGGCTCCAGCCCTAGGGAGCAGGTGCAAACCCCCCAGGTGCTCACTCTGGGCCACAGTACCCTGACCGCAGCCTGGTCTAATGACCGAGAGGAAGCGAGGCATAAAGTCCCACAGAGAGCAACATGGCGAGGCACAAGACGGCCCACGCAGCGCGGCCCGGAGAGGCCCAACCCCTGGAGCCGGGACCGGCACCTCCTGTGGAAACGGGGTCACCCCGAGCTTCAGGGTGGATTCTAAAGCCAGCTGAGAGCCTTGGAGAGCCTCCTGCGACAGCGGACAGGGGCGGGGACCCTCTGGGCCACCCCTCCGCCCCGGGCTATTCAAGGTGAAACCCCTGGCTCCAGCCCTGCAAGGCAGCCTCCCAACAACCAACACAGCCTAACAGATAACTTTGTGCAGCCGGTGATGTGCATGGCCCACCAGTGACGTCATAAATATCCAACCGGCCCTTGGCAGAGAAAAGGTTCCTCTCCAGGGCTCTCAGGATACGGGGTGGGGCCGGCACTGTGGTGTGGCTGATAAAGCCGCAGCCCGCAGTGCCAGCATCGCTTATGGGCACCTGTTGAGTCCCGGCTGCTCCACTACTGATCCAGCTCCCTGCTGTGGCCTGGGAAAGCAGTGGAGGATGGCCCAGGTGCTTGGGCCCCTGCACCCACGTGGGAGACCCGGAAGGAGCACCTGGCTCCTGGCTTCGGATCAGCTCAGCTCCGGCCGTTGTGGCCATCTGGAGAGTGAACCAGCGGATGGAAAACTGGAAGACATCTCTCTCTCTCTCTCTCTCTCTCTCTCTCTCTCTCTCTCTCTGTAACTCTGCTTCTCAAATCAATCAATCTTAATAGAAAAAAGCTACAATGTTGCAAGTTCAGGGTAGATGTCGGAGGGCAGGGGGTGAAGCCAGCACTTAGGGTGCCGTGTGCCACAATGAAGGGCTGGTTCGAGTCCTGGCTACTCTGCCTGCCACCCAGCCTCCAGCTAGAGCACGTGGGAGGCCGCAGACGATGGTCCAAGTGCTGGGGCCCTGCACCATGTGGAAGGCCTGGATGCAGTTCCCGGCTCCTGGCTTTGGCCGGGCCTGGATGCTGTGGGCATTTGGGGAATGAACCAACACTCCCCTGCCCCTTCTCTCTGCCTTTCAAACAAAAAAAACATTAAAAAAGACAAAAAGGGAGGAGAGCTGGCATTGCGTCATACCGCTATGCCAGCATCCCCGTGTGGGCGCCAGTTCGGGTCCTGGCTGCTCTACTTCGGATCCAGCTCCCTGCTGTGGCCTGGGAGGGCAGTGGAAGGCGACCCGAGGGCTTGGGCCCTGCACCCACGCGGGAAGAAGCTCCTGGCTTCAGCGTGGCCCAGCCCTGGCTGTTGCGACCCTGTGGGGAGTGCACAGTGGATGGAAGCCCTCTTTCTCTCCCTCTCCCTTTCTGTGGGCTCTGCCTTTTAAATACATAAACAAATAAACCCATTAGGTTCCTAGGAATTTCTCCCTAGGCAGGCAAGGGGAAACGACTACACCTGGCCAGGGGCAGCTCCGGAATCCAAGCTCAAACCGGCCGGCCAGGAGAAGTGTCTGGGATCGCCCAGCAGTTCCAAGGTTATCAACACAACAAAAAGACGAAAGTGGGTGGGCGCCCTCCGCCTCCACACAGCTCAGTCTGTTTTACAAAGAAAACCCAATCTCCCAGAACTCCTTGGAGAGGGAGCCCAGAGACCCTCCCTCCAAGAAGGGTGCAGGGACTCCCTGCCAGATGCAAGGACTTGTGGGCAACCTGGGGGCCCCCCCCCCGACGCCTGGGCCACCTCGTCACCCGGGCCCAGCACCACCCCAGAGGGGCGCCCCTCTTGGGCCACAGACCCCGCGCCTTTCTTTTTCTTTTCTCAAAGTCAAGATGCAGGCAGAGCCCTGGGAGAACGCCCCGCATGCCTCCTTCCCCGACACCCCGGGTCCCAAAGTGGCAAAAAAAAAAAAAAAAAAAATCACAAGAGACCGAAGGCTGGAGAGGCCTCCACCCCCTCCCAGGAACCCACAAGAGAGACAAAGGCCGGTGCAACAGAATAGCAAGAAAACGTGACCGATGAAGAAACAGTAGCGAGAGAAAGCCCAAGCGTGAATTACAAAGCCCGAGCCGGGGAGGGGAGCGGCGGCCCGGACGCGGACACGTGCGGCTCCCCTCTCCACCCCCACCCCCCCACGGCCGGAGATGTCAATTCCGAAAGCAGCTTCCGAAAAAATACATAAATAAAAAATAAACCGAACCGGCGGCGGGGAGCGGCGTGGCCCGGGGCCGGAGGCCGAGCCCCCCGCCACGCTCGCGGGGGGCCCCCGAAGTTTCCCGCCCAGGGAGACGGGGGGTCCCCCCACGGCCCAGCCCTCCACGGGGTGGGGTGGGGGGCCACACACCAGGCCCACCCCGCAGGCTGGGAGCCCCTGTGCAAGTGTCCACGGCAGCACGAGGGTCCCCGGAGACCGCACAGGCCGCCCACGCCCCCGCGGCCCCCCAATTCCACCTTCCCGGCCCGGTCCCCCACTTCCTGCCCACCCAGCGGCCCCCAAATCTCAGGCCCCGCACTCGGGGGCTAACCCCCGGCCCCTGACACCGGCGGGCCCGGCTGCATCCTGGGGCCACCCCCGGCCCCCCGGAACCCCGGCTCCAGGGCCCCCCGGCCCCCCGGCCGGCCTCGTGCGCGCGGCCCCCGCCTCGCCCGGCACTCACGGCTGTAGAGGGCGATGCCCGCCGCGTCCGGGCCGGCGCGCACCTCGAGGCGCAGCGCCTGCTGCTCCGCGTGCCGCTGGATCTCGCCGTTCGCGTCGCCGATGGTGAGCAGGCGGGCGCCGGGGAACACGGACACGGCCGCGCAGGGCCCCGCGCCGCCCGGGCCCGCCGCCCCCGCGCCGCTCGCGCCCGGCCCCGCCGCCGCCGCCGCCGCTGCCATCTTAGATCCCGCTCCAGGCCCCGCCGCCGCCGCCGCCGCCGCCGCCGCCGCCGCGCCCGGGCCCAGGCCGCCGCCGCCGCCGCCGCCGCCGCCGCCGCCGCGCAGGCCGAGGCCGAGGCCGAGCCGGGCAGCGCCGCCTGCCGGCCACGCGCCGCCTCACTACCGCCGCCGCCGCCGCGGCACGGCCCCGTGGCGGAGCGCCCTCTGCCGGCGGCCGCGGGCAGCCCCGCTACAGCGCCGCGGGGCGGGGCCGGCTCCGCCCAGCGCGAACGGTCTCCGCTTTGTGAGGTGGCTCCGCGGCCCAGGGGAGGCGGGGACGCGAGCGTGCGTCCGGGGGGCGGGGCCCCGGCCCCACGCGGAAACGCCCCCTAGGCGGCCTGGGCCCCGCCCCCGGCCCGGCGACGCGAGCGCGGGGACGGGCGCGCTTTGGAAGGCGGGGCTACGGCGGGGGCGGGAGCGTGCGTCAGGGGGCGGTGCCCGGCCCGCGCGGACACGCCCTACCTCGCTTTGTGAGGCCGTTCCCCCTGCCTGGGACGGCAGGGGCACGCCCCCGAGGCCCGTCCCCGCCCCCTGGCCCCACCCGGTATTGTGACGTGACAGGAGGGGGCGTGGCCTTGTGGGCCCCGCCCCTACACCTGCCCTGCTCCTCCGCGGCGAGTGGGGCTTTCTAAGAGCGGCTCCGCGGGAGGACAGGTGAGAGGCGTGGCCAGGCCTTAGGGACACGCACCTGCCCTTGGGTGGAAAGGCGGTTTGAGGTGCGCCAGGCACCTGCCCGTCTCCTGAACCCCGTACATCAACGGCTTTTTAATTGCTTTAAAAATTTATTTACTTGAGAGGCAGAGTTGCAGGGAGAGAGCGGGTGAGACAGAGAGAGAGGTCTTCTGTCCGCTGGTTCACTCTCCAAATGGCCACAACGGCCGGAGCCAGGGTCTCCCACGTGGGTGCAGGGGCTCAAGGACCGGGGGCCATCTCCCACTGCTTTCCCAGGCCACAGCAGAGAGCTGGATCCGAAGTAGAGCAGCCAGGACTCGAACCGGCACCTCTGTGGGATGCCGGCACCGCAGGTGGACGCTTTACCCACTATGCCACAGCACCTGCCTTGGCTTTTAAACTTTTAAAAGATGTATTGATTGATTTGAAAGAGTTACAGAGAGAGGGAGAGAGAGCGAGAGAGGTCTTCCATGTGCTGGGTCACTCCCCAGGAGCCCACAACAGTCTGGGCTCAGGCTGAAGCCAGGAGCCAGGGGCTTCAACTGGGCCTCCCGCGGGGGTGGGCAGGGGCCGGTGCACCAGGGCCATCTTCTGCCGTGTCTTCCGGGCCATTCGCAGGGAGCTGGATCGGAAGTGGAGCAGCCGGGGCCGGAACCAGTGCCCATGTGAGCTTTACCTGCTGTGCCACAGCCGGGGCCCGTCAGCTGCCCTGGCCCCTCTGCCTCCCCCCAGTGGAGGCTGCAGAGTGAGCCCAGCATCTCCCCCCTCCTCTATTCGCGGGTCTCCTCCATTTTGGGGGCTCCTGGTCCCTTCTTTCCTTTCCGGCACCCCCTTATTCTCCTCGGGGTCCCTCTGTCCCCCCGGTCCCTGTCATCCCATCTCCTACGCCCCCCTATGCAAGGACCTCAGATCTGACTTTGAGGTGTGCACCTCCCTGCCCGCCGCGGAGGGGTTCTGGCGTCCCCGCCCCAGCCCCAGAGGCCCCAACACCTGTTCCAATGAATAACCTGGGCCGACAAAGACGCACACCTGTGACACCCAGCAGCCAAGCCTCAGGCGCGGAGAGGGGGCGGGTGGCGGGAGGGGAGCTGGAGTGTGCGCAGTGCAGAGGTGATCCCCCCTCCAGGCTGCGGGGGTGCAAGAAGCCATCCTGACAGCGCCCCCTGGCGGGGACTGGAATCCCACAGGCGCCCCCACCCCCCACCCCCGGAAGAGTCCCAAGGCCCGGAAGAGTCCCAAGGCCAAGGTTCGCCTTCAAGACTTCCAGTTCTGGTCGGTTCCCTGAGAAAGCAGGCGCCGGGGCCGCCGCAGCCTCACTGGCCTGCCCGGAAGGTGCTGAAGTCGGGGGTCGGGGGCTCGGGCGAGGACGACGTGGAGGTGGGCCTCTTCCGGGGCCCTGAGTTGTCGGGGCTGGCGTCCAGGGCCCCCACGTCTTCCTCGGAGGTCATTTTCTTTGTCCGTGAAAGACAAGAGAGACAGAGAGGGGGAGACACGGGGTCATTCGGGGTTTGGGGAGCTGGGGACCCCCAGGGTCTGTGCCTCAGGCCTCAGCCCCCATCCTCCTGCCTCCCTCTCTGCCCGGGTCCAGCTCCCAGCTCCGTCACTGCCTGGCACTGTGACCCCCCAGCTGCATGACTTCGCCTCTTGCTGTCTCAGTTTGTCCTCTGTGAAATGGGGAGAATGCCAGGCCCTCCCGCGGAGCCAGGGCTGCAGAGGGGGCGAAAGACAGCTGGTGACTGTGCTGGAAGACTACCCCTCCCGCTCCTTGGCAAGTCACCCCCCTCCTCCACCTGGGGGGCTCCTGGCCCGCCTGCGAGTCCAGGAGGGAACTCGGCAGAGCCCCAGGAAAGCAGATGAGAGCAGGCTGGGCTCCCCCCCACACACACACACACAGCCACCCCACTAAGGCCCTTGCCTCTGGGTTGTGTGTGTGGAAAGAAATGGCTTAGTGGTTAACCCACTGGGGACACCCACGTCCCATATCACAGAGCCTGGGCTCAAATCCCAACCCCACTCCCGACTCCAGCTCCCTGCTCCTGCACACACACATACCCTGAGAGGCAGCAGGGGTGGCCCAAGGACTTGGGTCCCTGCTGCCCATGTGGGAGGCCTGGATTAAAATTCTGGCTTGCAGGCATAGGGGAGTGAACCAGCAGATGGAAGACAGCCTCTCTCTCTCTCTCTCTCTCTCTCTCTCTCTCTCTCTCTCTCAAAAGAAAACAGCCAAACCCAGGTCCCAGGGAGCTGTGAATTTAAGATCAAGGTCATGGTGAAAGCCGGAGCCCTTGTCGGCTGCTTGCTTATCTCAGCCAACAGCACAGCTTCAGAAAGAAACTGGAATCGAAAGCAGGAACTCAGGCAAGCTGTTTGCGGGTCCCGAGTTTGTGGCGCCCAGGGCGGGGTCGACAAATGAAGCATGCCCATTTCCCGGACGGTGATGCGCCCTTAGAGGGGAAGGAAACTCTAGCACCTGCTAGCAGGCAGACGGGCCGCGCGGGGGAAATAAACCGGTCACAAAAGGGCGCATTGTGCGGAACGCTGTGTACAGAAAATATCCAGGACTGTGGACCCAGAGAGACAGAACACAGCATGGCAGGTGCCAGGGCCTGGGCAGAAGCTGGTGGCCTTGATTTGATTGATTTGAAAGGGACAGTGAGAGTGAGAGTGAGAGAGAGAGAGAGAGAGAGATCGATCTTCCATCTGCTGGTTCACTTCCCAAAAGCTTGCAACAGCCAGGACTGGACCAGGCCATAGCCAGGAGCCAGGAGCTTCTTCCGGGTCGCCCACGTGGGTGCAGGGGCCCAAGGACTTGGGCCATCTTCCACTGCCTTCCCAGTCCACAGCAGAGAGCTACATCGGAGGTGGAGAAGCCGGGACTCGAACCCATGCTCTGACAATAGGATGCCGACACTCTGTGCCAGTGTGGCGGCTTAACCTGCAGAGCCACAACACAGGAGCCGACATTTTAATTACACCAAAATAAATATAGACTTGAATTCCACTTTATGTGATCTTTGTGAAGTTGCCTCACGTGACTGTGACTTGAGGATTTATTTGTGGCACAGTGGGTCAGGCCGCCGTTTGCGATGCCGGCATCCCATATCAGAGACGGGTTCAGGTTCCTACTGCCCTGCATCCGATCCAGCTCCCTGCCGTGGCCCGAGTGCTTGGGCCCCTGCCAACTACCTGGGAAACTGGATGGAGTTCTTGGCTCCTGGCTTCGGCCTGGCCCAGCCCCAGCCTTTGTAGCCATCTGGGGAGTGAACCAGCGGATGGAAGACCTCTCTCACTCCCTCTACCATCCCACTTTTCAAATAAGTAAAACAAATGCTTTTTAAAAAACAATTTTTTTTTTGACAGGCAGAGTGGATAGTGAGAGAGACAGAGAGAAAGGTCTTCCTTTTGCCGTTGGTTCACCCTCCAATGGCCGCTGCAGCCGGCACACCACACTGATCCGATGGCAGGAGCCAGGTGCTTCTCCTGGTCTCCCACGGGGTGCAGGGCCCAAGCACCTGGGCCATCCTCCACTGCACTCCCAGGCCACAGCAGAGAGCTGGCCTGGAAGAGGGGCAACCGGGACAGAATCCGGCGCCCCAACCGGGACTAGAACCCGGTGTGCCGGCGCCGCAAGGCGGAGGATTAGCCTACTGAGCGCGGCGCCGGCCTGAAAAAATATTTTAAAAAGATTATTTATTTATTTGAAAGGCAGAGTTACAGAGAGAGAAGTCTTCCATCCATTGATTCACTCCCCAAATGGCTGCTATGGCTGGGGCTGTGCCAAACCAAAGCCAGGAGCCAGGAGCTCCATCCGGGTCTCCCAAGTGGGTGTAGGGACCAAGGACTTGGGCCATCTTCCACTGCTTTCCCAGGCTACAGCAGAGAGCTGGATGGGAAGTGGAGCAGCCGGGACTCGAACCGGCGTCCACGTGGATGCCGGCACTGCCGGTGGTGGCTTTACCTGTTGTGCTATGGCACCGGCCCCAACATAAACATTTCTGAATGTAAAATATTTTTTTGTAAAACTCACCAGGACTGAAATACTGGGAAATGTTATTTTTTCTCCCTGCTTTTTTTTTTTTTGGTCTAGTTTTCTGTTGTTTCTTTTAAAATGCTTTACAAACAACAGCCTGCCTGCCAAGTGTTTGGGTTTTTTTGCTTGTTTGCTTGGAGGGATTTATTTGAAAGTCAGAGTTACAAACAGAGAAGTGGAGACAGAGAGAGAGGTCTTCCACCTGCTGGTTCATTCCTCAGATGGCTGCAATGGCCAGGGCTGGGCCAGGCCAAAGCCAGGAGCTTCCTCCAGGTCTCCCACGTGGGTGCAGGGGCCCAAGCACTTGGGCCATCTTCCGCTGCCTTCCCAGGCCATTAGCAGTGAGCTGGACTGGAAGTAGAGTGGCCGGGACACAAACTGGGGTCCACATGGGACGTCCACGCTGCAGGCGGAATCCTTCCCCGCTGGGCTACTGCACCGGTCCCCGCCACGTTCTTCTCCCTGGCTGAGTAGGCTGGAGCCGAGCCCCTCCCTCCCCGGCCATGTATCCTGGGAGGCCTGATTTACCTCCACAAATGCCTCTCGCCCCACGGGGTAAGCCACCGCCTGCAACCCCAGCACCAATGCAAGTCCCGGCTGCTCCCCTTCCGATCCAGCTCCCTGCTAGAGCGCCTGGGAAAGCAGCGGAGGGTGGCCCAAGCGCTCGGGTCCCTGCAGCCACGTGGGAGACGCGGACAGCGGCAGGCTGGCCCAGCACCACTCACTGCGGCCACTGGGGGGAGCTAGAGAACCAGCAGTATGGAAAATCTGTCTCTCCTTTTTCTAACTCTGCCTTTCAAATAAGTAACTAATAATAATAATAATAATAATAATAATAATAATGAGGCCGGCACCGCGGCTCACTAGGCTAATCCTCCGCCTAGCGGCGCCGGCACCCCGGGTTCTAGTCCCGGTCGGGGCGCCGGATTCTGTCCCGGTTGCCCCTCTTCCAGGCCAGCCCTCTGCTGTGGCCAGGGAGTGCAGTGGAGGATGGCCCAGGTGCTTGGGCCCTGCACCCCATGGGAGACCAGGAGGAGTACCTGGCTCCTGCCATCGGATCAGCGCGGTGCGCCGGCCATAGCACACTGGCCGCGGCGGCCATTGGAGGGTGAACCAACGGCAAAAGGAAGACCTTTCTCTCTGTCTCTCTCTCTCACTGTCCACTCTGCCTGTCAAAATAATAATAATAATAATAATAATAATAATAATGGCCTCTCTTCCCAACTCCAGGCTCATGAAGGGCCCAGTGTTTGTGTTCTTGTCCCTCCCAGCCTGCCCCTGGCCCAGGTCTCCTGTTCGCAGCACCTGGGTCCACCCTGACCTGAACCTGTTCACTTCTCCCCGCCGCTGCTGCCAAAGCACCCAGGGGCCTAGCCAAGCCCCGACGCCTCCATGCTGGTCCCCAGGCAACCGATGCTGCCCCACGCCGTGCTACCCACAGCGGCCACCAGATGGCGCCTGTGACCACCTGATCCTGGCCGGTCCCTTCCCTGTGTCATTTGGGGAGCGAACCTCTCTCTTCCATTCTCTGTCACTCTGCCTTTCAAATAAATAAATCTTAAAAACTTAATACACAAGCACCCAGGTCACCTCGAGGTCAGTGGTTCAAGGAGGGCCACAGACCCGGGTGGAAGTCCCAGCCCCGGGGCGGAACCGTGCCCTGGAAATCGGGCAGGACATCTTTGAGACATCCAGGGACATTTGAGCTGAAGTCCCTGAAATGACCCCAGCGCGCTCTCTTCCTTCCTCCACGAGGGGCTGAGCGGGCGTCACGCGGCCAGAGACTCCGCGAGCCACCCCAAAGAGACCACTGCCTGGCCCAGCAGTCCCCATCGCCCCACGCAGGGGTGGCCCCCAACCGCGTCCCAGGGCAGCACTGCCTGCGGCGCCAGCCGCCCCCTGCCCCGGGCACCTGGAGGCCGGCCTTGCTGCCTTCGTCCGTCTTTCACACCAACTCTGAGCTCCCGAACAAAGCCCTGCTCAGGGCCGGCCGCTGGGAGGCGGCAGGTGCACCCAGGCGCACCCGGCCCACGGGGGCCTCTGCCTCCCCAGCTCCCTGAACTTAGGACCCTCCCAAGAGCAGGCCCCACTCACCGTGGAGATGGCGAACAGGGAGTTATCGAAGGCCATGTCTGAAACAGAGAGGGAGCGACGGGGTTGGAGATCGCTTTTTCTGTGTTGGTTTTTAACATTTAGTTATTTGATCAGAGACAGAGAGATGGGTCATCCGCTGGTTCACTCCCCAAGTGGCCACAATGGCCGGAGCTGCGCCGATCCGAAGCCAGGAGCTCCATCCGGGTCTCCCACGTGGGTACAGGGGCCCAAGGACTTGGGCCATCCTCCACTGCTTTCCCAGGTGCATCAGCAGAGAGCTGGATCAGAAGTGGAGCAGCCGGGACTCGAACCAGCGCCCGCTGGTGGCATTGCACGTGGTGGTTTAACAGGTTGAGCCACGACGCTAACGGGCTCCAGTTCCGATCCAGCTCTCTGCTGTGGCCTGGGAAAGCAGTGGAAGATGGCCCAAGTGCTTGGGCCCCTGCAGCCACATAAGAGATCTGGAAGAAGCTCCTGGCTCCTGGCTTCGGATCAGCTCCGCTCTGGCTGCTGCGGCCATCTGGGGAGCGAACCAGCGGATGGAAAACCTCCCCTCCCTCCGCCTCGCAACTGCCTTTCAAATAAATAAAATAAATCTTTAAAAAGGCAACGCAAGCTGACGGTGAACGGACTTTCTGTGCGGAGGAGCGGCGCGCCCCCTAGCGGACGCCTGCAGAACCACACTGTCTGGAAGGCAGGCGGAGCTCGGGTCAGCGCCAGGCCCCGCAGGTGCTGCCCGTGAGGGGCGGACCGCTCGGCAGTGGGAGCACCCGGGGGTTCTCAAGCGGGCTTCTTCAGAGGGCGAGAACGACACGTGCTCGGGGCCCGTCAGCAACAAGAGGGTGGGGGCCCTGTCTGGGGAGTTTAGGAGGGCTTCCTGGAGGAGGTGAGCTTTAGGCTGAGGGAGGCAGTAGAAGGGTCTAGGCAGTGGGGCTTTGGTAAGGGGGAGTGGATCCTGAGGGGACGAGGCAGCCACAGATGAGGCTCTGGTGGGGTCGGGGTCGGGGTCGGGGTCGGGGTCGGGGAGGAGGCACAGACCTGACGTGCTGAAGTTGATCTGGGCCCAGCAGGACTCTCGCTCTCTGAAAAGACATTCCGGAAAAAGCAGCAGCATGTCAGGTGCCCCCCGAGAGGGGAGCTCGCTCTAGGCAGCCCCCGAACCAGGCCCTTCTCCCGGACCCACTCACACACGCCCCCCACACACACACACAACGCCCTGACACGCTGTGCGTCAGCCCTTGGCCCATACTAAGTGAGAGCTGTAAGTTCCCTCCCCATGCCCCAAATCCGGGTGAAGCTGGCCCCTGGTTCCCCGTGGGTCTCCTTTCTCAGGGGGGAGAAATGGAGGCTGGGGCAGCCGGGACACCCTGGAGCCCAGGAGCTGGGGGCTGCGTCCTGCAGGGGGCAGGCCGGGCGCTAAGTAGGTCCCCTGGGATCCACAGAAACACTGTGCTGATGTAGCGCGGCCGTGCCCGGGAGGAGGCTGGCCGGCTGTGCGGCCGAGCCTCCGTCTCCCGCTCCGTGAAATGGGTCTGTTCACAGAGCGCCCAGCTCCACGGCTGCTCTGAGCAGAAGGTGACCTCCGGCTTCAAGGGGATCCCAGCTCAGCAGGTGCCAGACAGGGCCACCGGTTCCACGCCCACACCGCCTCCAGAGGGTCTCCAGGGAGGGGCTCACCTTTTTTTTTGCAAGTTTTTCACCTTGACTGGAACAGAAAACCAACAAGCGTCTGTGAGATGCTGGCGTGGACTGCAAACCCCAAAGCCACCCCACCACGGCCACTCTAACACGGGGTGGGGGCTTCAAAGACGGCGCTGGGGTGCAGTGGCTTCCAAGACCCCACCCCAAGTCCCCCCTGCTGCTCGGCTTCCCGTCCCGCCCCCTGCCTGCGCGGCTGGGAAAGGAGGGGACGGGCCTGGGCCCCCGCTCAGCCGCTCTGCCTGTCGCCTGTGCCCTTTGCGACGGGCGACGCCATCACCTGTGGGGAGCAATTCGGACTATACTGTTACTGGAATTAAGACTTATTCTATGCATCTGCTCTCCCATAATATGGCGCTGGGAGAGGAGTAAACAGCTTCTACCCAGCTGCCTCTCACCAACTTGACAAGCTGCAGGAGCTGCTCCTGATTGGAGGAGAGCGGCGTGCTCGGCGTGTGGGCAGCCGAGTTGGGATTGGCAGAGGAGGACTATAAAGGAGGAGAGAGACGGCATGCACCAGGAACATCTAAGGGGAACACCTGTGCAGCCCCCGAGAAGAGCCGGCCGGCGGTGTGCCGCTCCCCTGCGGAAGTGGGGAGTGTGGCCAGGGGGAACTGCCCTTCCACGGAGGTGGAAGGGATAGTAGCCAACCCGGGAAGAACCAGCAGCAAACCCGGGGAGGGCCGAGCAGACGAAAGAACAGCGCAGGGTCCTGTGTCGTTCCTCCACGAAGAGGGGGAGCGACAATCACCCGTGGATGTTGCCATCTCGTCCGTCTCCCATGGACACCAGGGACCGCCTATCAGCTCCTCCCACATCGTCCTAATTCGGGGCGGGGGCAGGGGGTCTCAGCTTCGGAGCGAGCCGGGTCGGCCCTGGGCTTCCCCCACGCCGGCTCTCACCTTTCCTCACCACCAGGGTGAGCACCACCAGGCCCGCCAGGAGCAGCAGGACGCCGGCCAGGCTCAGGGACAGCGCCAGGATCCAGGTGGGCACTAGAGGGGGGAGGGGGAAGGAGGCGGCGGGCAGCGAGGGGCCAGGACCACCCGCAGCCCACCGGTTCCCCCCCCAGGGGGGGCCCCCAGCCGCGTGGGGTCTTAGCAGAACGCACAGCTGGCCCATTAGCATAGCCCCTCCCTCCGCTCATTGTGATTGGCTCGGGGATGGGCGTGTGGCCTGAGCTGAGCCAATGAAAGTGACTTCTGGGACTTTGGGCAGACACCGGGGCTCGGTTTTACCACCGCGGGAGAGAAAGGCCGGCCGAAAACCAGGCACTGGGAGGTGGCAAACATTGCCCGACCTCTCTCTCTCTCTTTCCCCTTTTCTTTTTTTTTTTTTTTTTGACAGGCAGAGTGGACAGTGAGAGAGAGAGACAGAGAGAAAGGTCTTCCTTTTGCCGTTGGTTCACCCTCCAATGGCCGCCGCGGCCGGCGCGCTGCGGCCGGCGCACCGCGCTGATCCGA